TCATTTAGGATAAATAAATATCGAAATAAGACATCCCTTTCGAAATATTTCTGGCACTTAAAAGAAACCAATAAAATGCCTACAGTAAAATGGAAATTAATAAGAAAAGCTAGAATATGTAGGTCATTAAATGACCCAAGTCCTTTGTGCATACATGGGAACCTATATATTACTAAGTTTATAAAGAATAAAATTTACTGAATCAAAGAAATGAAATAGCTATTCTTTGCTGTCATTGTCAAAAATTTTTCTTAAATAATATTTAAAAATAAAATAAAAATAAAAAAGTAAAAAAATGGGAGCTGTTAATATACATACTTCTATTTGATATGAAAATTTATTTTTAAATAATTTAAGTAATTCTATTATATTTACTTGATTTAAAAAGAAATATAATCTATTAGTAATTAAAAGTAAAAATAATATTTTAAAATTGTAGTTAAATATAATGTATTCTAACCCAAACACCCCTTTTAGAAAGAATCTTTAAGAATACAAGTATGAATTTGACGAAAAAATTGTCGAAAAACTTTTTGTCGTTAATAATAAAAAAAAACCAGAAGACATTCGTTTAACGGATGTCAGAATTCGTTGAAAAATGCACCCCTATCCTCCCTAAACTTAACCTCTTTTTCGAACGTAATTCATCATTGATAAAACAATAGTTAATAAAAATGAACATGCTATCTCACCTTTAAAAATGATTGGATTTCTCTCTATCCTTGGAAACGGGAAATTATGAATTTATATGTTCATTTAAAACTCAGTAAATTTTTAAAAAAAAGTTATTCCAAAATTCGCTTGAAGATGAAAAAAAACTAATGTTTTTAATTTAATTATATAATTAAATTTGAAGTTTTTAGCTTCGGTTTTTGAAACATGGTTATTACTGTGTAGCGAAGAAACCATATTTTAAATCAGTTAATTCATTTCATAAAACCTATTTAATGCTATTAGTGTAAATATAAAAATAAGTTGATACTATATGTTTCTATCATTCAATGAAACATGTTTGAATGAATATATATATATATGTGTGTGTGTGTGTGTGTCTGTGTGTGTGTGCGTGTGTGTGTGTCTTATCAAGTGATGATGTTGAAGATAAAATAAATGGTTTTAAAAGTTTCAGATTAATTAACGATCCTACATTAGGGGGAAACATGTATTTTTTTTTTTCACAATGTATTTTTTCTTTTCTCAATAATTTTATAGTTTTTAAACTTAATAGTGATTAAATTTGGATTTTTAAATTGCCAGTTTTTAATTTTAATATTAAATTTTATCATATAATTTTATAATTATTGGTTAGTATAAATTATTTTTAATATTACCCGTATTTTAAAGCTCTGAATAGGTATTATAACATGATTTCGTTGTCAAGCTTTTGAATCTTTCTATACTTGGTTTTTGATTGGTTATTCTAGCTTTTGTAACAATGTTTCCCACTAGTGTAGGATCGTTAATTAATCTGAAACTTTTAAAACCATTTATTTTATCTTCAACATCATCACTTGATAAGACACCGAGGGTGTTGAAACAAAATGGCTATTTTTGTAGTGATTTTATAACATACTTATGTTATAATTTTTTTTTATAAATAATATATATATATATATATATATATATATATATATATAGATAGATAGAGAGAGAGAGAGAGAGAGAGAGAGAGAGGGGGAAGAAAGAGGGGGAAAAGAGAGATACTATTTGTATACTTTTACATTACTAGCTATTTATAAAACAAGCTACAAAAAATGTGCATCTCTCGCTATAACGACTTTATATCTCTTCGTAATTGTCAATATGAGAATGAAACTATTTTTTTTTCATATTGTATTAAGTACTAATTGAGAAACCACCATTGCAACCGGCGGATACGTTTTTACTTCTATTGTAATGCAAAATTATGTCGTCTAAACGCCTATGAAAAGGAACACGTCGAGTTTGAAACGTTCGCTTTTGCCAATAAATCAAGCAAATAAAAGTCAGGAATTATATTTTCAACATGATAAGAAAGATTAGTCTGGAATATAAAAGATAAGAAAGAAATATTTCATTGTTCCCATCGACTAAATTGTAATCGCTTCGTAGAATCAACTCGCAATATTTTCTTCTTAACCCCTTCTAATATAATAAACTCCTTTTTATTGTAACCTAGAAAGGGTTACAGAATGAGGAATAACCAAAACAGAGGTTGGAAATGACAGCTACAGTTCTAGTAGTAATTTAGAAATCACAATAAAAAGAGAAAAACGCCAGAAATTTAAAGACTAACGTGCACTTGTAGAAATAAAAGCAGATGTCCATTAGATCTTGCAAAACTGAAGCAGTAATTTACAAAGCAAAAGTAACAGATACAAATGTCCAGAAAAATATGCATAGGGTATACTGAGGGTAACTTTAAAAAGAGGTGATACAATCATAAGTCATCTTTTAAGCTAGAAAGCTTTAGAAATTCTGCCAAACTAGCCAACCATATGTGCAAAATAAAGGAAAAAAATTAAAAAGATTCGATTGCAAACTGGAAAATTTTTTAAAAAGCAAAACCTTACAACAATCATAGCAATATCTGCAACTCTTGTCAACTATAAAAATTAGCGATAATAACATTTCCAGACCAAAAATTCCTTTTGAATCAGAGAGCGGAAATTATGACCCGTGGTATACATACTAAAAAGTTCCTTTTGAGTTCATTTGTAGTGGGGTGAAAAGAATGTATGTATATTTCATTTAATCCCCCACCGATACATTTCCAATACAATTGATTTCCCCTAAACCTCCTCCTCCCCTCCTCCTCCCGTGCTCATATTCATTTATTTATTTCTTAAAAATATAACGTTCATAAATTTCTTAATTGGCTGACTCCTCACCGCACACGATTTGATTATAGTGAAGAGTGCTTGTGCAGAAACAACTACAAGTTTTGGAAAAGTCAAATATACATAGCTGGTACACGTAGTGTACCACAAGCTCCTTAAATGCACATTTGCTCTTGGGAAAGGCATGAATCCAACTGAGGATCCAAAGTAGGATTCATATGTTTCCTAGCGTAGTTCTGAAGATGATCAGACAAAGACGCGTTTCGACACCGGAGAAAACGTTTTCTCTTTGGCTTCTTCAGTTTGATAATGAAAGAAAGACAAAAACATTGTGAGTAAAAAATGCGTCGGGATCTCTGAGGACATTGCAGATCCAGTTTATTGTCCTAGGTTATCACCTCATGATTTAGCCTTGAAGAATGTCTGTCTGTTGGGCTTGTTTGTTTTAGCTGTGTTCGTATTAGAGCTGTTTGGTATTGTTGGATTTTAGATCCGGGATAGTTAATGCTAAGATGTATGAAAATGATTGCAGGAGACCAGGCAAGATTTAAATTTTCCCGCAATTATAACCGCTACATTGCCTGCACATCCATTCTGTTCCTCAAGAGCTTCAAAAATTATGAATATCTGAATATTGTGCTAGATGGCCTCTGACGTTACAAGATTTATCGGCCTTTAGATGTCAGGTCTTGAATCTTGATGTATGCCTTTCCGACCATTCTACACACCAGAAACCCTTGTTAGGGAAGCGGTTTAGTCGCCAGTGAATGCGGTATATGGTACCATTAGGACACGTAGATTGACCTGACATAAACCTAAAGATCTATTTGCTATAGAAAGCACAGTAACAACGTCTAGCGTGATGAGACAGTCTTCGGGACGTGCATACATGACTGGCAACTATCGTTTTCCGAGCGCGCCAGTCTTCCAAGGCGGTTAGGCAGTTCCTGTGTTTGTTCAACGCCCACCTGTGTTTTATACTGCAACTGTACTGAACGAACACTAATTAAAGTTTCTACAAAAGAGCCTGTGATCTGTCATGATCAGCAGTTTGAAAAGGGCTAGCAAGCACATGCAGGATGACTTCTGATTCCTTGCTAACACAACCATCTTCCGAACAGTTCTGTAAATTTTACTCAAAAGGCTGGGGTCAGCATGTAGTATTTTTTTCAGGCAATGGGATCGCCTACTCTGACCGATAACCCCTAGAAGTCACCGTCCTGACAAATTAATCATGCTCTGGAAAACGAACGTTTTAACTCGAGCGAAGCCCCTATACATGCATATACATTGATATATGTACAGAGTGCGGCAGAAATATCTCCCACATTTTAAAGGTTGACAAAAAGTCCAAGGTAACTACTATTAAAGCTATATTCCACTGTTCCTTAAACAAAGGGATACTGCTTTTATTTATTTCATTTTAGAAATGACATCCTCCAAATGATGGTCTCTGTTCGCCATAGACTGTTAAAGACTTAAGACTTAAAGATTTCCATCGCCTGAAAGTTCGAGCGCTTCGAGATCTCCCAGGTGGCTTTCTTTTAAGCGTTGAGCTTGTAGCCCTGAAATTTTTAACCCATAGCAGTATCCATTTTCTACCTGGAACAGAATCATTCCGACGCAACATGGAATGATCACGAAACGTTCTCTGTGTTTCGATTACAGTTCTCCAACAAGAAACGCATGGTGTGCACTGGTCCAAGCCATAATGGTAACTGATTTTATTTGTCAAAAAAATGGTAAGACATTAGCTAGATGAAGATATCATTGCCACTTGTCTAAATTCATTTGCACCACGCAGGTGAAGGTTTAAAATGTAGGAGGTATTTCTGCGGCACCTTGTAATAAGACTTTCAAAGGTTGAGTTAATCATTTAACAAGGTGGTTCTCTTATCCAGTGTATTGATTGATTTATTTTTTACAGCTTATCAACCGTTTTAGGTTATTTAATACCAGTAAATATTTTTAGATTGTAAGAATTTTGGCGGGATAATAATAATAATTTAATGATACAAGTCTTACTAATTAACCCATAGATGAACGGATAAGATGTGGATTCATACGTTTCCCAAGGGTATTTTTTGTAAATGAATATAATAACCTCAATGGGAATTAGAACTCGGTTCTCTGATTAACAATTCCGAATCGTTATCCATTACACAACCCGTACATTCAAGCTTACAGAATCCGGTATTCCCAATCTGTCATCCATCTAGGTATTGACCAGGCTCAACGTTCGTTAACTTCGGTGATTGTACGGGAACCGGTGCTTCAACGTGATATGGCCGTAAGCTAATTACCCAACGTAGACAGGTACTTCAGCTAGTTGTTAAAGATACTGAGAATGATCCTAAAAAATAATGATCACCAGCAAATATACATTTGAAAAAAATAAATGTCGCGTTTATATTGGCTTCATCTCATAGAGATACAAGCATAAACTCATAAACAGAAATTATTAGACACAATAATGGATATTTAACACAAACATACAAGGAAATCAAAGCACTTTTGGGGCTGGTTTAAAAAAAAAACGATTATTGAACCGTAGCCACGAAACAACTGTATCAGTGTCTTAAGCACAATTCTAAAGTTCTTGCTATGTCAATCGTACTGTGACGGTGTGTGTGTGTCGCGGAGTATTCATTTATTGCATCCTCCATAAAATATTGCCTTTCATTGTACTTGTAGTGTAAAATAACAATGGTGCTGAGGAAGTCAGGTGACACGAATGTCAGTCCCATATTATGTTGTATTATCAGATTTTGTAGACGATAGAAAGGCGTTGAGATGAAGATCCGAAGCATGACAACACGACCTTTTAACCCGTCTTTATTATATTCCACTAACACCGCCAATTCAGTTTTCAATCCAGAATACTATGTCACTTCTCACATAACTATATATATATATATATATATATATATATATATATATATATATATATATATATATGTATATATATCTTTGATGCGAGATAAGACAAATAAGTTTTGGATGTTTCTGTGTCCGGGGCATAGGTTGAATGCTATTGTTTTCGTCTTTCATTGGCAAAGATTACAAAATATGAGGATGGACAGAATAGAGAGAAATAAAAACATGGGCGTTCTAGTGTACGTCATATGTTTTTGTCGTTTATTTCGGTATTGTATTATTTCTTTTAGAATCACAAGACACTGTCTTTTGTTGCTTTTTTTTTCGCCTTTATACGTAAGCGTGTACGTTAACCATTTAAATGCGGATGACGTGAATTTCAGTCATTAACCCTATATGGTATGGCTCACCTGCTTTGGTTGATTGGTGCGTTTTCTACGGTTTATCAACCCATTTCAGGTTATTTAAAGCCAAAAATACATTTAGTTTATATGGATTTATTTTCTGGCGATAATAATATTTTAGTGATAAACGTTTTACGAATTTTACCCGTAGCTGGGCGAAATGAGGTGAGTTCGTACACTTCTCATGGGTATTTGCGCGAAAGTAAGTGAATATAACGAACCCAATTGGAACATGGTTCTCCGTTTTCCAATACCGAGCCGTAATCTATTAGCGACCCATTATGACTGACTAAAGTTTCTGTCACAATTACTAGATTCAGTCTCAGTTTGTCTATCCGTCTGTCTGTCTGCATCTTTCTCTTTCCCTATATATATATACTAGCCGCATGGCCCGGCGTTGCCCGTGCTTGATTCAAAAATCGTACGACTCATACAGCAATCGCTATCACTTGACTTAAAATATTTTTGCCCTTCCTTGCCTTTAAAGGAGTGCCCTCTGCCGTGCTGATGTTGCTACATGCCTTACTTCTTGCCTATCTCACACTGCGAATTTTTTCGAAGCTCTATACTAAACATTAAATCTGTTACGAAAAAAGAACTAAACAAAATGAACACAAAACGATCAGCTTTAAAAAAAGGACTCGTAACTGGAAAAACCGAATGAAAAAAGAATGTTGACAACAAATACTTTTTCACACCCAACCCAGTTCTGCGGAATCAGAATCATCGTTGAGTTTAAGCAAGCGAATGAGCCAATTGGAGTAAAGTGCCATGCAAATTTAAATTTTTCCCACTTGTGATGAATGCAGCTATCGATTTTTTTTTTTTTGCATGCTAGTTAACATTCGTGTCAGTCAGCTGTTGGCTCTCACGCTGGCCAATAGAATCTTCCTGACTATTCGGGGCAGCCAGCTATAGGCTCTCACTCTGGCCAGTAGAAAATGGCTGCAAACTACATGAAAATTGCCGTAGAAGCATAAAAAAATCGATTATTTCCCCTATCGATGGGAGTTGGGAAATGCAAAGTTAGCCTGGGTCTTCCCGCTAACTTGGAGCATGTGCATGTAAATTTTGGTGCAAACCGTCGAAAATTGCGGCCGTGCATTCGTTACACACACACACACACATCCTGCCTTATATATATATATATATATATATATATATATATATATATATATATATATATTACTGGCCATTTCGCATCTCTACAGCTTTAAAAGTTAGATAAAATAAAATAAATTCAGAGCAAAAATGGCCATTCAGATGGGGTATTTGTGAATTTCATTCATTTGTAATTTATTTATATTGCTCTGTAATAAATACATTGAGCTCTCTTTGTGGTTCAGTTTTAATATTTTTTAATATTTAATAGGATTCATTTGGATTACTTACCCACGGATTTTTTCTCTCTCTCTCTCTCTCTCTCTCTCTCTCTCTCTCTCTCTGTCTCTCTCTCTCTCTCTCTCATGTCATGTTAAAAATCCATTAATTAATTGCTTATATATATATATATATATATATATATATATATATATATATATAAGCATATATTGCTCATATATATATATATTTCATCCTCAAGCGAAAATTTAGGAATAACCAATCTTGAAATTTACGCATCTTTATAAGCATGTTGAGGATGAAACAGGGCTTGACACCTTAATTCAATTTAATTTTAATAATTATATTGAGGGTTTCGGCTCTCGTTTTTGAAACATGAGAACTATTATGTAGCGAAGAAATCATATTTTTTTTTTAAATAATTATAATTTAAACTCTGCTTCTGTATGGAGCACTGTTTTTTTTTTTAAATAAAAGCAAAAATACTAAATAACTCCGAATTTTTTTACCAAACGTGTTCTTTCCTATTTTTCTACATACCTCCATATATATATATATATATATATATATATATATATATATATATATATATATATACTATTTTTTGATTTGTGATTTTCTTCTGATGTCGGATATATTATTTGATATCGGGGAGACTTGCCAAAATTCGAGAACTTTCGACTATCATTGCTACTTTTAAATAAACGCTCCACTGTCTCTCAATTCTCTCGATTTCTACTTTCTTTCCTTGATACAGGGTTGTAATTTCTCGGACACATAATGAGAGAAGAAGACTTGGAAATTCTCCTAGGATATATAGAAGGCAAGTGGGACAATCAGAAACAACGATCGACCTACTTAGCAGACTTTTTTTAAAATGGATAGAAGAACAAGAATGGGAAGGATAGTAAAAAGCATAAACATTGCTAGGATAGGAAATCGTGAAGATCCATGATCACCAATATTGTGAAGGGGTCATAGAAACTACATGATCTAACCTAAGTTAGAAGTTAACTGTTTATTTACTTATTTTTTTCATTTGATGTGTGCCTTTTCATTTGATGTGTGAGAGTTTGATCATCCTTTTCCGCTACGAGTTTTTACGGCCACTTCATTCATCAATGAAAAATTGTATTCGGTTCAGCTCACAGAAGTGCTTTTTTATATTGATTAGAATAGCATCACTTGCAGTGGACTCACTTCGAGATTGATGTCATTACAACGTGTTTGCTTTGGTTTATTCATTCACGAGAAATGCAGGAATTACTTCTTAATACTGTCAAATGTATAAGTTACTTACCAAGATTAAAAAGAGTAAAAATGTAAGAAATTTGAATGAAATAAATGATAGAAACATCCAAATCCCAAATCCGATCGCATGTTGCAATATGAAGTGCAAGCGAATCTAGTCATCACCAGAAACGTCGATTATCTAATGAAAAATTACTTAGAAATAAGTTCAGCTTGGATTAGAGATGAAAATGAAGCAAATCACGTGATTTGGAATAAAATAAATAAAGATAGATAAAATAAAAGCGTAGTCCTCTTGAATGATGGAAGTTGAGTAAAAAAAAATATATTGCCAAGTTTATTTTCTTTAAAGAAAATACATCGACAGAAATAAGGTTATATTGCTGGATGCAAAAAAAAATGCATGGTCATGTAGGGAGTGAATGGAACGTTATTCTAAAAAGAACAGTTTTGGTAGTCGCTGAAAGGTGTAGTCCTAAAAAGGACAGTTTTGTTGTCGCTGAAGAGAGTTGAGCTGAAAAGGACAGTTTTGTATTCGTCGGAGAGTGTTTTCCCGTAAAGGGCAGCTATTAATCTGTGAAGAACGATGTCTTGAAAGGGACAGATTTGTAGTCGTTGAAGGGCGTTGTCCTGTAAAGGGAAGTTTTTTAATCGGTGAAGAGCGTTATCCTGAAGAGGAGAGTTTTGTAATCGGTGAAGAGCGTGTCCTGAAAAGGACAGTATTTTTGACTCTGAAAAACGTTATCATTCTGCTGGCGAGGATGGCTGGAGCTGTTGGTCTGCTGGAGCTGGCTGGAGCGGCGGTCGATGGCGAGCGGGAGTTGCGGCTGCTGCTGATGATGGCTGGATGGAACTGCCGTAGCCCACGTTGTTACGGTTGGTATAATGGTGCCTTCTCTCTTTCAAAATCACTCGTTATATTTCACATTCTCTGGTTTCTTTAAGTTAAAATGTTGAAGATTGTCTTCGATCTAGACACGATTACGGCCATATCAAGTTGAAACGCTGGATCAGCGAAATTAAGCAACGTTGAACCTAATCGTTACCAAGATGGGTGACCGATTGGGAATACCAGATGCTGTAAGTTTGGATGTGCGGAAGATATAATGGACAATGGCTTGAAATTATGTTATAGAATAGTTTCACAGTGGAGGCTTGTATTTCACTAAGTCGGTCTTTAAAATAGGTTCGACGTACAAAACGTTAGGAACTTGATATAATAGTTAATGACGTAGCAATGTAGTTGTGGTTGCTGATACTTTAATATCCGACTAACGGTCGTCCGACATCGACTGACTGACCAACTCACAGAGCGACTGGCGACTGCTACTATTACTACTACTACTTATTATAGGTGGGAGAGTCTATTAACTATACAATAGGTGTGTTCCACTATAACAAATTGTTAATCGGAGAGCCGA